GTGGTGAAGTCAATCCAAATTCTGCTGCTAATAGCTGTGTGTCCCTGGGCAAGTTGCCGAACATCTCTAAACTTTATATTCATTTGCAAAACGGGAGTAAGGTACCTACCTTGCTGGGCTGTCACTGGATCAACACAGAGGAGGGGCCTGTGGGACTGCACTGGGCACTGCCCACCATGCTCAGTAACCGCTTTGTTAAACAAAGGAATGGCCCAAGGAACTGCTTGATGAACATCAGGGTCCATGATGCCACTAAAGTCAGACACTGATATTTCCGGAGGCTCTAATAAAGAAACATTTGTGAAGATATTGCCAATAGAGTTGTTACCTGATGTTTTCATGTCGCCAGAATTTTTGTCATACTTAATCAAAGATCTCTTTGGGATCCCTATTAAGACATTGATTCCCCCCCCCCCACAGATCACTACTGAGTTTATATAAAAAGGAAACTTTTACATAAAAAGGAAATCCGTGGCTCGGGGTGTCCCAACACTTTTCTAAGGTCAGAGCTGTATCTGAATCCGCGCCATCCTGCAGCCAAAGCCTGAGCCCCTTGGCCTCTGCCTGGAAGGCCATCTGTCCTCTGTTCCCCCCCCCCCATCTCCCTGCACCTCAAGGAAGGTCTCCCTCTTCCAGCTGGCTTCCTGGATCTCTCCCTGAGGTGAGAAGTCTGTGCACCTGCTGCTGGGACAGTTGCATCCTGCAGACACGAAGCCCACAGGGCCCTGGACACCTCCCCCAAACTGTCATATGAACTGAGAGTTCAGAAAAGGGAAGATGTTGTCTTAAACCTGGTGAGGTTCAGGAAATTGGTGTAAGAACTAGGGCAAGGGGGGTATAAGGGAGAGGCCCCTGCAGAGCCAGGCCATGAGGTACCTCCCTGGGCCCTACTGCAGACAGGAGCAGGACCTGCCTTACTTTTTTTTTTATTATTATTGGAGTTCAATTTGCCAACATATAGCATAAGACCCAGTGCTCATCCCGCCAAGTACTCCCCTCAGCGCCCATCACCCAGTCACCCCCAACCCCCAACCCACCTCCCTTTCTACTACCCCTTGTTCGTTTCCCAGAGTTAGGTTTCTCTCATGTTTTGTCATCCTCACTGATATTTTCACTCATTTTCTCTCCTTTCCCTTTATTCCCTTTCATTAATTCAGTCGGAGAAAGACAAATATTATATGGTCTCATTCATTTGGGGGATATAAAAATTAATCAAAGCACCTGCCTTTCACCGAATCCTGTGCGTCTGGGGTCGGGGCCAGGGCCAGGCTGGCTCTGTGTGCCTGGCCCTGTCTCTGTGGCCACCCATCTGCCCTAGTCACTGAGTAAGACTCCCCCGCTCCTGGAGAGGTGGTGTCAGACATTCCCTTCAGCTCCAAGAGTGCAGGTCTGGCTGAGCTGGAGAGGCTGGTGGGGCACTTGTGGTCCTCCTCAGCCTTACTGTGGCTCCTGGAGAGGCCTAGAGAGCAGAGGCTTCCTGGATGAGCTGGGACTCTCTCTGGAAGCGGGATCTCTAGATGGGATCAGAGCTGTCACTTCCGAGGCAGGAGCTCCTCTAGACTGTATAAAAAAATCAGGCCGTGGGTGACCTACAATGAAGGAGATGCCCGGTTTGTCCTCCCACCCTGGAGGCCTGTGAGGGTGAGCAGTTGTGCCAAGTCCAGGCTGAGCAGCTAAGGCTGCTCCCTCTCTGCGTAATGGAGCCCCCTCCCTCCAGGAGGCGCAAACTTCCCACCGGCCTGACTGGTGTGGCTGGGCCCCGGTTCCTGCTCATCCAACCTACGGGTCCCACCAATGGCGTCCAGGACTCCAGACAGGGAGAGGGTGAAGCCAGAGTAAACTCTCTGTTTTATGCGGTGGAGTGGCATGCGGAACCCCCGCTCCCGGTTGCACCTGTCACGTCTGGCGGTGCAGGCTCTGCACCCACCCTGCTCGCCCCAGGCCCGCCTGGATCAGACCACCCTGTCCCCAGACGCTCCAAGGTGCCACGGCCCAGCTAGGCTCTCGCTTCCACCGACGAGTGCTGCTTTCTCGGGCCGGGGTCACAGTGCCCCCTCCCTGCCTCGACCGGCAGCCAGCCGTCCTCCAAGGTCTCCGCCGGCTGCGGGGCCTCCGTCCCAGAAGAACGGAGAGCGCAGATCTGGCGGCTGTCGCCTACCGCGGCAGCCCCGCTCACCCAGCGCTGAGCAGCCCTCCGGGGGACCTCGACCTTCCAGCGGAGGCGGGGGTCCCAGGTGCCCAGGACGCTTCCCCCACCCAGCACCTCGGTTCTTGCGAGACGCCTGAGCCCGCTCCCTTCCCCGGCCGCCGGCCCTGCGCTCCGGAGGCGCCGCCGCGACCTCGCTCAGCCCCTGCTAGTGTTTCCCAGGACCTGGGAGCGGAGAGACGTTCGCGCGGCAGGGGAGCGGGGAGGAGAGCGGGGAGGGGAGTGGGGAGGGGAGCGGGGGGGAGCGGACAGGGGGTGAGCAGACCATCCCTCCCTGCCCGCCGGCCCGCGGTGAGGGTCCTCTGCGCCGCGTGGCTCCCCGCGGACTCAGCGCGTCACCTCCGAGGGGGAGGGTGCGGCCCTTCCTGCAGTCCCGGCTCTGCGCGCCACGGCTGGGGCGCCGTGGGCTCGCCGTGGCTTCTCCGGGAAGGGCTGAGCTCCCTCCCTCCCGGGCTGTCCCGAGCTGCCCAGCCGGCCGCCCCTTCCGGGCCCAGCGAGGGCCGCGGCGGGCAGCGCCAGGAACCCCTCCCACCCGCTCCGCACGAGGCCGCTCCGCCTCTGACGGGCTGGCGACCTCGACAGCAGTGCCTGCTCGGCTCCCCATCTGCGTCTGGTGGGCCTGTGGTCCTTAGACTGTTGGGGCCCCTATGCTCAGGCACCCGATTCTCCCTCCCCTCCCACCCCCCACACTCGCTCTGGTCCCTCGAGGCCCTTCCGCGCCCTCCAGTGAGGGGCTGCCTTGGGGAATCCCCGCAGGACCGCAGGCCAGGTGCCTAAAGTCGCATTCCTCGCAGTAAGTCCAACCCAGAACCCAGAACCGAGTGGGAGGGGTGGGTCAGAACCCCTCCTGCTCTCCTCTGGGACCCTCCTTGCTTCTACAGCTGCCCCAGCTGCCAGAGGCTGAAGCTGGAGTCCATGCCCAGGGCCCATGGGGCCGAACTGTGGGACAGAACTTTCCCTGCCCTTTGAAGTGCACATAAGGAAACGCAGCAGGCAACCGAGTTGGGAGTTGGGCTGGCGCCCGGCGGTGGGAAGGATACCGCCCACGCCACAGGCAGTGGCTGAGAGGCGGGGAGGTAATCCCCCAGGGCCGGGAAGGATGGGGTGCTGTCAGTCCGACACCCCCTCCATTGGCTCCAGGGGCCTGGGCCCCCAGGGGATGTGCCACTTAGTAGACTGGAAGCTGTTTGCAAAGTCGGGTAACGGCCTTTGAGCAGGAGTTAGTTTCCCTGAGACCTGGCAGGGCCGGGGCCTCTCAGATTGTCTGCAGCCCTGGGAAAACTCACTCTCCCCTCCTCCTGCCCTAAACAAGGCCCCGGGGTGCTCTGGGACTGGAAATCCCAGTGCTGATTTCACCCAGGAAGGTCAGGCTTCCGTGTGAAGGGCAGCCATGGCCACCCCAGGTGGAGGCCATCACTGTCATTTTCACATTCCGACATGCGAAACCCGAATCTGGGTATGCTGTTCCTCTGTCCCCCGTATTTGTGGCTGGAGGACCCACCTGGAATTCTGCAGGGCCAAGATGGGGTTTCTCCCTGGACTTTAGCCAGCGAAGTGGCCATCTCTCCATCCCCATACTCTGGTGGTGGTCCTCGTAGAAGTACAAGGACAGGAAGCCACAGGCCTGCCCAATCCAGCCTAGAGGGACAGAAGTCAACCGAAACCCTCCGGCAAGGAGAGGGCGACTGGGGGCCCACGCGGCGGAGCTGCACCTCTGGAAAGGGCGTCTTGCACCAGCTGGGTTGGCCCGATGTCCTCCGCCTGGTCAAGTGCCCTCGCTGCCGGGAGCTGGGGCGAGATGCCGGCACTTGGCCTCTACCTCGTACATCGCAGGACGTGAAGACCCGGCCGCAGGCGCGCTGCGGATGGGGCTGCGGCGGGTGGCGCACCGCGGTGCGGGCCTCGAATCCCAGGCGTCCTGTCTGCCTGTTGAAGAGCGGGCCGGGACCATCTCCAGGACCTCTCAGGCGGTTCTCCGAGTCCCTGGAGACCGAACCAGCAACCCAAGGGGCTCCAAGCCCCGGGACACGTCCGGAGCCAGCTCCACGGCTCCGGGGCTCCTGGGCTCCTGGTCCTTTCCGACCCCTGTGCGGCCAGGTTGCCCCCGCCCGTGCCCGTGCCCTGGCCTGGGAAGAAAGTGCAGGAGGCTCACCCTGGCCCCTCACGGAGAGGAAGCGGCGCCGGGGACCCTGCAGCGACCGGGCCGCCTGCCGAGCATTCGGAGCCCAGGGGCAGGTCACCTTTTGCTTCCACAGCCCGGGGTGGGTGTGGGGGTCCCTCTCACCTCGCCGCGACCCCCTCTCCAGCCCTGCAGACTCAGAAACCCCTTCATCAAGGCCCGCTGTGTCATAAAATATTTTATTGGAAAAAAAATCACTGTCTTCGCAAGAGAGGGGTAGAAGCCCCAGCGACGGACGTCGGGGACCCGGCCTCGGGGTGGGGTATGTCCGGGCGGGCCGGTCCGCGCCAGCCTCGGGGGCCCCGACAGGCGGGAGCAGGTGCGCGCCGGCGACGTCGGGACGCGGAGGGCCGGCTGAGGCGGGTGGGGGTGCGGGAGAGGTGCGGGCGTGAGTGCGCGGAGCTCCAGGCCCGGGTGCCGGACGCCAGTCTCCGGGCCGGGGCTGGGAGCGCACGGGGGCCGGGCTTGGCTGCAGGCTCTGTGTCCTTTCTTGCTTGGCCCCAACTGTCCGCATTCAAGGTAATAATAAAACGTTTAGAAAGCAAACGGCGTGGCCGCGGAAGGGCCGCTCTCGGCTTCCAGCGGGCGGAGGGGCCTCGGCGGCGCGGGGCGCGCTCAGTCCTCTTGGCTCCTGTCGATGGTGTCGCCGGGCGCCTCCGCCGGCTTCTCCGCCTCCTTGGCGCGCTCCTGCTCCGTGAGCTGCTCGCTCGTGGGAATGGAATTCTTCTTGGGCCGCCCCTTGGGCTTAGTGGGAGACTCCAGGCCGCCGCCCTGCAGCACCTGCGCGGAGGACGGCCGGCCGGGCGGTGAGCGGGGCCGCGCAGCGGAACCCGCGCTCTGTGCGCAGGCACGGCCTCCCCGGCACAGCCAGGCTCTCTGAGGCCGCGCCTAGCCCGGGGACAGGGCAGCCGCCATCTGAGCGCTGCTGGGGAAAAGCAACTGAAGGGTTGGACCTAGGGGTTCAAGGCTGCCGGAAGGCCTGAGGGTGAAGCAGAGCAGAAAGGAATGCTGGGGCACCCAGGGACAGGGACAGAGCAGAGAGGGTCCCTGCGGGCACCAGGCAGGCACCAAGGGAACAACAGGAAGGGTTGGGTAGAGGTCTCTGCGGTGGGGGTGAGGGTAGGGGGAGCTCCGGGAAGGCAAGGGGGCCTGGGCAGGAGCTCCTGGAGGGCAGGGGGTCCTGGTGGGTGGGTGGGAGCTCCTGGAGGGCACAGAGGGTGACCGGGGTGTGAAAAGTCACAAGCACACTCACTATTTTCTTCCACTTCATCCTGCGATTCTGGTACCACGTCTTCACCTGCAACTGGCTCAGACCCAGGGATTCCGCGAGATCTATTCTGGAAAGAGTAGGATGCACCTTCAGCGGAGCAAGGAGACCCCTCCCACCCACCCTTCCACCCACGTTGGGCTCAGCCTGGCCCCCGCAGCTACCTGTCCGGCGTGGAGAGGTATTTCTGCTTCTCAAAGCGTTTCTCTAGGCCCATCAGCTGGAGCTCAGTGAACACGGTGCGGCTCCGACGCCCCTTCTTGGCTTTGGCACCCGGCTCTCCGGGGCCCGGTGTCTCCAACTTCCCCCGGAGCTGCAGCTCAAGCGGCAGGTGCGGCGCGCTGGGGGCACCGGGCAGTCCAGGCCCCGCTGCCAGCAACGCAGAGCCCAGCCCGGAGCAGCCGAGCGGTGCCAGCGGGAACTTAAACACCGCTGCCTGCTCGGCCTTCAACACGGCTGCAGGGAGAAGAGAGTGGAGAGCCGGTGAGCTGGGGCCGCGCTCTCCTCCTGGAGATCCCCGCACTGTGCATCGTGGGAGAGCTCACGCTAGGCCAGTGCCACCCAGCTCGAAACCTTCCTTCCTGCCTGGCCACTAAGTGCAAGATTTGTGCTGCACGCCTCCAGTGACCCTCTTCAAAGCCAGTGTCACTGGAGTCTGGGAGGGGGGACCTCCCCACCCCCCAGGCCTCTGCCTGGTGTTCCCCAGGCCCCAGCGGCCTCTGGGATTCTCTGAGAAGCACAGTGTGTCTTTCACAGAAAAGGGAAAGCAGGAGGAAACGGCGGCAGCAGTCAGGAAGGTGAGCGTTTGCCCCCACCAAGTCGGCATTGCCACGTCCCAAAGCAGGAATGGTAACTGCCTGAGCACATCTGCTCTGTGGAGCGGGAGCACAGCCACGCAGCGTGCAAGTGGGGGTCTTCAGCCCCGGAGGGCTTGGGCGCTTCCTGGAAACTCCAAGCACCCCCTGCACCAGGAAACTGTCCTTCCTGTTGTCTCTGGACTGTTCCTGCAAGATGTTTCCATGTTTTCATTAGTCCTATGATGATTTTTTTTTTTGCCCGCTTCAAACGAATTGTTAGGCACAGTGCAAAGAGCAGCAGAGAGGCTGCATCTGAGCTGCACTTCAAACGAACAAGCTGGCCCTGCTGCCCTTCGTGCTGGTGGGGCAGTGCCTGGGGGCTCGTGGGTGCAGAGCAAGGCCAAGGGCGGCTCCTGCTGGAATGTAGGCAGCCTCCCTTCTCGGATGCTCGCCCTGCTGGAACCGGCAAGGGACCAGGCAAGGTGCTGGCAAATGCACAGAGGGGAGAAGCCATCCTGGGGTGGAAGGTGGAAGAGCCAGGGCACACAGACCCCATGGAAAGAAGGCCACCTATGAGTGGAGAGGGCCTGGCGAAGGCTGGAAGAAGAAGGGGTGCAGTGGAGAGAGCACCAGCAAGGAAAGGTGGCATCAGCCAACGAAGAGAACCAGTGGCGGCAGCTCAAGCTCCAAGGAGGCCCAGCCGACCTGGAGTTAGGGCCAGGCGGATTGCGGCTCACTGCCAGGCCTCTGGTCTCCCGGCAAGGCCCGCAGGCAGCGGAGCAGCAGCACAGGCCGCGGGTGCCCCACCCGAGACCCCAAAGCCTGCGTCTGCCCCCAGCACGGCTCTCGGAGACGCGGGCTTCTTCCCCCCACGGTCCGGCTTGGCCGCCGTGGGTAGCCGGGGCCACTCCCGACTACTGTCCTCGGCGTAGGCCCGGGAGCCCGAGGCCCGAGGTCACTCCGAACCGCAGTCTGACATCCGCAGTGTGGTCGGGCGCCCGCGCTGGGGATGCGGGCTCGGGGGCTCGTGGGCTCGTGGGAGGCCGCAGGTCCGCGCCGAAGGCGCGGACGCCCGCCCGGCCCGCCGGCCCGCCCGGCCCGCCGACACCAGGCCTGCTTTCTGCGCGGCCCAGCGCCCGCCGCTCCCTTCCCGGCCCGCGCGCCCGGAGCCCCCGAGCTGCGTCCTCGAGGCTGCCGGCCCGCTCCCGCCCCACCCCGCCCGCGTCGGCCCCGCACGTACCCAGGTGGCTGTGGAAGGGCCGCGCCGCCAGCAGCGCCTGCACACCGAACTTGAGCAGCTCGCCCGCGGCGGCGGCGGCGGCGGCGGCTGGCGCGGCGCCCTTGGGCCCCGGCGGCTCGGTGAGGATCTCCTCGATCATGAAGCTGCGGTAGCGGTGCGGCGGGGGGTCGGCGCAGCCCTCGGGCGGCCCGAAGCGCGCGGCGCCCGGCTCCCCAGGCCGCTGCATCGCGGCGCCCGCTGCTCGGTGGCGGCGGCGGCTCGGGCGCGGGGGCCCGCGCGGGGCTCTAGGCCGGCCCGCAGCTCCGGGCGGTGCGCGGGCGCCGGCTCATGCCCCCTCCCCCGCCGGCCGGCCGGACCCGGGACTGCGCCCCCGCCCCGCGCCGCCGCGCCTCTAGCCGGGCTGGCCCCGCGTCACCGCCCCGCCCCGCCCCGCCCTCGCCACCGCCCCCACCCCCCGGGCCGAGCCCGAGGGAGGCCGGAGCGGGGAAGGAGGCGGGAGGGAGGGGGCCGCGAGAGGGGCGGGCCGGCGGGCCAGAGGGGACCCGGCGGAGCGCACGCCCAGGAGGGCGAGAGCGGGAGAGAGCTCGGAGACCAGACCCCCAGAGAAGGGAGCGGAGGGTTCGAGACAGAGGTGAGAGAGGGGCCAGCGCGAAACAGCGAGGCCACACAAGACGCGAGACAGTGATGAGAGGGTGCCACGGACGCCGGGGCGTGCGCACGGAGAGGCCGGCGGAAGCGCGGGAGCCAGCGGGCCGCGACGTGCCGGAGGGCACAGAGGCAGGCAGGGCCGGGCGAGGGGCCGTGGAGAAGGAGCGGGGACGGCGAGGAAGGCAGCGGCCCGGCCCCGCCGGGGTGAGGGAGGCCTGCAGGGTCGGGGGAGGAGAGGCGAAGGCCGCGCAGCGTGGCTGGGAAAGAAGTAGCCATGCGCAGCCTCCCCGCAGGCGCTCACAACCACCCGCCAGCGCAGGATGCAGCAGCAGGCAGGGGTGCAGGTCTCAGACAGGGGCTGCACCTGTGCACTCCCGCCTCAGTTTACCAGACACGGCCTCACCTGTCCCGAGCTGCCCGGACGGGTTCTCCTGCCCAGATGCGCTTATTATATTGCCAAGTGATGTAGGGACACATCCTCCCTGGCGATCCCCCTCCTGAGGGGCGGGTTCTGTCCCCCAGCTTAGAGGGAGAGATGGATGCCATGCCACCGCCTCACCTCCTCCCAGCTTTAGAGTGAGAGGGAAAACTGGCACAAGGCGGAGCTGGGTGAGGGGGCACTGGGTGCACTGGGAGTCCCCCCATATGCCTGAGAGAGGTCCAACTTTCCCTGGTCCCCCGCCGTCACTGCAGGAATATAAATCCAAGCTGTGGGGTGAAGGATCCCCCCAGCTCTCTGCCAAGTCTCTCTTTATGGCTCTGCCACTCCCAGCAAGCCACTGCCCAATCAGGGCCTCAGCCTCCTGACCCGTCCTGAGGAGCTGCTGCCTCAGGGCTCCAGGGAGGCTGTGATGACTGAACAGGATGTGCCTTAAGGTCTGTTGGGGAGGATGCACCATTTGTCTGGGCAAGGAGGGTGGGGTGTCCATGGGTGTCGATGGGTGTCTCTGGGAGGCTGGGGACAGTGCCAGCCCTCTCCTCTTATCCCTCTGGAGTCCATCTGCCTGGGTCCTGGACCATTTCTCCCATGATGTGAGCTCTGCTCCCGGCCTCAGTGTTTGCTTCTGGGAAATAGGGCCTACCATACCTATGGCCCTACACTCTGCAAGTTGATGGAATTTCTCTAGTTCCAGCTGCTAGCAATGAGATCTTGTGGCCAGTTCCAAGCACTGGCACCTGCCCTAGACCCTTCAAGAACTAGGAGATGGCCAAGACATCCCTCTGGATGTCCCTATGGACAAAGAGAATGTCTTAGCAGAGGCTCTAAGATCCCAGCTGCCTCTCTCCACAGTGGTTGGGTGACTTGCTGGGGCTGCCCCTTCCTGAACATAACAGCCATCATCAGGTCTGAAAGGTGGTCTCCAAGTGTTCTACCTGTGGGTGGTCCTCTGAATCACATGGAGATTGTTTGGAAAGGGACAGGGTTAGTATCTCACACCCAGCAGGCCTCCCCCCAGTGAGAGGTGGCAGGATGGTGGGTGGGGCCATGCTGTCACCAGTCCAAAAGAGAAAAGCCAGTGTCTCCTGCCATGATGGGCAGCCTAGCCTGGAAGCACTGCGAGGTGGGGGGGGGGGGGGGCACAGGAGTGGGCTGCTTTGCTGTTACTCCCTGCATGCATCAGCACCATAGCCTGTTCCTCTCAGCTCCCCCCACCCCAGTAGGACCTACAGGCCACTGCTGCCTCCATCTCTTCCCCAACCTCCTCCTCCTCTCCACTTCAGGGTCTTTCCAAGGGCATAGCCTGGGGGTGTTTTCATTGGAGGGTTAGGCCCAGCCACCCCCATTCTATCCCTTCACTCCCATTTGGACCCCTGATGGAAGCTGCCCAGCTTTGAACCACCTCTTTTCTGGGCAGCTGCTATTCTGGGGGCCGGTGGGGGGGGGGGGCTCATGTCCCTTAGATGAAGACCTGGTGGGAGTCCCATTGGGTACTGAGCAGCCCTCACCAAAGCTATTTGGCCGGCAGTCCGTCTCCTAGGTCAGGTTTGGGGGAAGGTCATTTTCAGGGTGAGACCTCCCGTCTAGATTTTGGGGAGTCAGAAAACCAGCGCAGCCCAGACTGTACCTCATTCCACAGGTGCCTCCCCCAGCCCTTTGGACATCTGCCAGGGCTCCTTCCCTGTGGCCCAGCGGGGCTGCTGCAGAGGGAACCAGGCCCGTGGCTCTTTGGGGAATGCCCTTCGGGAAGAGTGGAAGGCCTTGTCGAGATAAAGTTCTGCCTGGCAGGCCCGTCACCATCCCCCTGCATCCCAGAGGCGAGAAGGCCTCTGACCTCCCCCAGCCCGACAAGGTCTCCCCGCGTCTGGCGATCCCAAAGCAGACCCAAAGATAAACCCCTTTTAGGCGAAAAACTGCGCGCACACAGCGGCAGGGCCTCCTCTGCTGGGGAACTGCGGCGTCGGCCGACAGAGGGTTCACAGCGGGTCCCTCCTGCTCGTTCGAGCCCCGCAGCCCCCACCCCAGGGGCGCAGCAGCCCGGCCAACGCCTGGGACCCTGCCGGGGCCTCTCGCCGCCGCCGCCGCGAAAATCCCGGAAACCGTCCGCTCGCGGCGGGCGCAGTGGAAAAGGTGACCTCAGCGCCCAGGCCAGCCACCCACTCCGGCGGCGGGCGCGAGGGGCTTCGGGCGGCAGGGGGGTCCCGGCGCCGCCCCGACGCCGGCTGGGGCCCTCCCCCACCAGCGCTCTGCTCTTCCGGACCCCACGGCCCAGCCGGAGGGGAGGCGCGGGGCAGGGGCTACCTCCTCCCCTAGCCAAGCCCCCGGCCGGGGTGCGCAGGTTCTAAACGCTCCCCCTCCGCCAGCCCAGCCTCCCCCTCCCCGGAGCCTCCCCGCGGGATGCTACAGTCGTTGGCCGGAGGGGTCCCGAGCCCCGCGCAGCCGGGAAGCTGAGCCGGGAGCGCGCAGGCCCGGGTGAGGTCGGCGGCCCCGCGCCGCCTCTGCGCGGGTGGAAGGTCCCGGCACCAACTCCCCGCCGGCCCCCACCCCGCCCCACCCGGCCCGGCCCGTTTCCCGGCGTCTCCTCTCGCACCTGCGGCTGCCGGTTAGAATCTTAGGCGGCAAAACGGAGCGGGGTGGGCATGGAGGGTGGGCTGCTTCTGGACCTGCGGTCTCCTCTCCGGGCGCAGTCACCCAGCAGCCGCCTGCGGGGAGTCCCACACCTCCTCCCGGTGGATAGAATCGGGAACCCGGGCCCCCTGCAGCTCCGGCCGCGCAGGCCTCCGTCCCCAGCACGCGCCCCGCAGCTCAGCTCGCGCGCCCGCACGCGGTCCTCCTCCGCTCGGCGCTGCGCTCCAGGAAGCCCCGCGTCCGATGGCCCCGCTCCGCCTCGGTGGGCCGCACCGGGAGCGCACCGTCCGGCCTCGGCCCCGGCTCTGCTCGTGCTACTGGTGCGTGGGTTCGAGCCTGGTGACCGCTGTCCTGCCTTCGGAGGGGGAAATCGCGGTGTCCTCACGCTCGCAGGTCACATGGTCCAGGGACGCCGAGTTACTTTCTCGTTGGAGAAGCCGGTCTCTGTGGCCCCTTCGTTTAACAAAATTTCGATGTCGAGGGTGGACTTTTCGTTTTGGATCATTTCAAACCCCTGTGAGCTCAGGGCTCAAATCGGGTTTGGGATCCGTGCCTCGGGACACATCCCTCTGTCTTCCCTTCAAATTATCCCTTTTTGGGTATTTTACAAACTTGCTTCTTTGGAATGTATTACCTTATTTTTGTTGTGTGGTTATTTTTCTTCAGCGTATGGTTTTCTTTAAAAAGGATGAATTTTAAAAGAAATCTACAAGCAGGTAATGACTGGCCTGACATATCGAAAACCCAGAGTGACCCTGCTGGACAAGCACAGACCCGGCCACCTCGGCTTCATGCCCACCTTTTAATAATTTTTTTAATTTTTATTTATTTATGATAGTCACAGAGAGAGAGAGAGGCGCAGAGACACAGGCAGAGGGAGAAGCAGGCTCCACGCACCGGGAGCCCGAGGTGGGATTCGATCCCGGGTCTCCAGGATCGCGCCCTGGGCCAAAGGCAGGCGCCAAACCGCTGCGCCACCCAGGGATCCCCATGCCCACCTTTTAAGCGGCTCCTGCAGGGACCTCAGATCCTGGCTAAGCGGCACACGCTAGTCTGGTCAGCATCTGAGTCCACACCCAGGGCCGGAACTGGTGTCTACTGAGGCCTGGGTTTGGTGGGGCCCCGCAGCGCGTGCTGGAGCTGCTGGGTGACCGCACTGGGGCAGGATGTGGGTAGTCCCACGGCCTCCTAGATGTGCCCCTCCTAGATGTGCCGTGTGCTCTGGGCGCTGAGTACCCGGGAACGGGCGCCAGGCCCTGGAGACTGGGTCTGACTCCTGTCCTGCGCCCATCCGGGATCACACTGGGACTCAGGGGCTGCTCTGCCTTCCGGGAGAGTGAGTGTCGGTGCAGGCGGCCCCCAGGGCCCTTGCGGCTTCGTCCTGGCAGGTGCCAGGTCTTCGAGGGGCAGAAAAGGAGAGGCCCTGGGGCAGCGGCCAAATCCCTCGGGCGCCATCGGCCAAGTGGTGGTCGGGTCTCCTTCCTTTCGTTTTCTTTGTCCTTCATTCTTTG